TTATGCATGGAAAGAGTCCTGATGTGCAAATCACCTATGGTTTCATGCCAAAACAGAACATAATATTTCACCCTACCCCCAGATTTTATCAGATAACTCTAGGACTGATAAAAATATTTTTAGCTCAGTAGTGACTACTGAAATTAATGTTCTAATTTCAGACTAGTACCATTCATAGGCATAGAGCCTAACACAAAAATACCAAAATAAACAAACCGAATTTGCTGAACAATTAACCATAGCACTTTCAATTTTTTTTTTAGAGAAAATACAGTCCTGGAAAGATAAAAATTCCTGATATCCTTTGTTTTCATGTTTAACAAAAACAACTACAAATATGCCTTAAAACCGAGTAAGCAGTCAATTTATGTTAGTACAACTAACAGTCCATGTTTTCTCCATCTCTGGTCTCACAGAACATGTATTATTGTGTATATTCAAGTTATTTCTGACCCTAAAGCAAGCCTGTCACGGGGATTTCCTAGCATGATTTGCTTCCCTTTGAGGCTGAGAGTATGTGACTTGCAAAAAGTCACCCAGGATAGTTCAGTGGCTGAACAAGGATTAGAATCTGTGTTTCTAGGGTCTTAGTCCAATGTTCAAACCAAGATGGCTCTTCCCACATAACAATCCACAAAAAGTATCCTATCTTCCCTTTTTTGGTTCATATATCTACCAAAGTTGCACATACTGCCTGCTAATAAAGATATTAGTAAAATCCTCACTAGGATGATATCTTCTACAAAAACTCCATACTTAAACCTCAGTTATTAAACTAAATCATAAATGTTTCCAATTAAAACAACAAGAAACAACTCATAAAGAATACATTAGCTTATTTCTTTCTTAAATGTTCATATCTTTGAACCACAAAACATTTCAAGAATGCATTTTGGTTCATCAGTTTAGATCAGCAAGATTAGATTGCAAGCAAGAACTGGAATGGCTTTTGAAAGAAAGTCTGCTCTAGATCTCCTTCTTTCTCCCTCCATTCAGTGGAGGAAGGAAGGGGAACATTTTTGCCTTTTGGCTTAGGTCCACTTGACTTTAGCCAAAAGGCCAAGAAATAATTCAGGTACATACCAAGGTTCTGGGTTCCTGAACTCTCTGCTTCTAAACACCCATCTTATTCTGACATGTTTCTGGGTCATCTCTCTTTCACTCGGTCTACCTTCTCTGTGGTGCTGCTTCGTTCCTTTTTTGTGCATTGCATCTGCAGATAACTTGTCACTATTTCTTCAACTTAGCTGTCTCTCACACCATCTTTTCATTTAAGAATGACGCTTGTGCCACATGAAAATATTTAGAGCTGACAAATGCATGCAACCCAAACTCGGGACAAAAGGTCATCAAAACTCTGTGCATATAAATGGCAGTGATGAAGTCAGACTGGGGCAAAGTGGGAACAATCAACTGGAAGCCTCTCAGAATTACAGCTGGCCTTTTCCATGCTTTAGTCTATTCCAGTCACTGCTAGGGGAGGGAGAGAGAGCAGGAAATCAAGCTACTTGGTCTTGGCTGGTTTTTTAAAATAAAAGTTTCTGTTAACAAAATTCACAAGTATATACCTAGATGGAGGCCCAATAACCATGGCAGGTAGAGAGGGAGAGGGTTATGGATATTCTGCAAGATCATAGCCTAAATCTAGCTTTTGCTTTAATTGTTCAGGCAGCAACATCCTCACTTGTGAATAGCATAAGGAAGACTTCTCCCCACCACCCATCTCCCTGGAAATCAGAGGACTCTACTATGGACCTTTTCTGTTTCTTCTAACTCACTAAAGACCGACATTTCTCTCCCTCTTTTTCATCTATATAAATAAAAATGTAATGTTCGTTTTTGGGATTAACATAACTCAAAAACCACTTGACAAGTTGACACCAAATTTGGACACAATATACCGATCAGGCCAACGAGTGACCATTGCTCAAAAAAACACTGAAAAACATAGTAGAAAAGACTTTAAAAAGCCCAAAAAACCACAAAAAATCATTACAACGCATGCACAAAACCACACACACATATATACACGCACACATATATACACATATACAAAAATATATACACACACTAAACACATTACATAGACTGTGCCACAGCAACATGTGGCAGGGGCGGCTAGTTGGGAATACTTAGAAACATAGTGTTTCTTGTTTCATAAGCTTGATGCAGGCTTCAGAGTGTGATATCTCAAATGATAGTATGGCTTCCAACAGGAATAAGCAGTAAGCAGTTATCCATACATATGTTGGGAAAACATTTTGTTTAAATCTATTTCCTGCTCATTCTGATGGAACAGCCAGACAGAAAGTTAACTCACACCAACCTACTAGGAGAAAAGTGTTTAGCAGGTTAATGGGAAGTAATATTTTTCTACAACAGTTGGAAATGTGTGTATAAAATGTTTACCATCTTCAGACAATATGATAAATGATATTAAATAGATTTTTTTCAACCTAGCTTTTACATACAGAGGTTTCTAAAACATATAATTAAGCTGCCCAAAACTAGGGAAACTGAGCAACACAGCTGGATCCTACTCATCATTATGCTGATTTGCAGTCTTGTTTTATTGTGTATTATTTTATGTAAGGATTTGGAAAAACAAGTAAATATCAAAGGAAAATATGTTTTGGGAAAGCAATGAATCTAAAGTCAATTAAGTTAGAACTAAGTAAGTAAAAATAATATTTTTGTGAATGTCGATTAATTTTGAAAATGAAAATGGCTCTAGACCCAATAATGAAAATCACTTCAAATCTGGAATGAAATCTGGACCTTCACGTTTTGAGGGTACAGGATACTATTGCATCTTTTTAGAAAAAAATATGAACCACGTTGGTTATCGGCAATGAAATACAGATAAAAGCTATCTTGTAGTATATGATGTCCCTGTTTTCAATGTGCACTCATTTTGGACTCAAAGTATTGAAGATTATTAATAGAAATATTTATAGTTTTAAGCTATACTTCTGTCTCTTGGAATTTAACATATGAGTCATTGTGGCCAGATTCTCCGTGCTCTTACTATAGATAAAAGATTCAATCCCCTAGATAATAAATACAAATATTCATCATCCATCATTCAGAAATTGGAGGACTTATTACTTGAATCAGGTTTCATTAACATATGAAGACCCCAAATGAATATTGTTTGGGAAATGATCAGCTAATATTGGCATGTATCCCAAGTTCCATGACTATATAGCAGGCAGTAGACTGTTAGGATTTCTGGAAGTCCAAAACACCTGGAGGGTTGAAGTTTGCCCATGCCTGATATATACGATGTATTTCTTCTATCCCCACAATCTTCTTTTTCTTTTGTCCTCTTTCTTTCATTTCTATATTTTTAGAATACCAAGAAATGTATTTTAAAGGGGAGGGGGACCAATTTGCAGAAAAATATGGGCAAATCCTGTAGGCCTGCTCCAACTGTGTGGTTTCAGAAAACTATAAGCAGACTAACTTTTAAAAACATCTAACACAGAGCTTTTCTATAGCCTTAGCAAAACTACACACAGATGTCTGCTTAAATGTAAGTTTAAATAACACCGAACATCTACTTCTGGTATAGATTTAGCAAAACTATACACAGATACTTAGACATTAGTTCTGCTATAGTCTTAACAAAAATACTCATATGCCAAGAGTTGAAAAAAACAAAAAAACATGCCTAATATACAGCCTCTGTTATAGTCTTAGGAAAAATACATAAAGTTATTTTTAAAACATCTAATACATAACTCTAGTATAAAGAGCCCCCGGTGGCACAGAGGGTTAAATGGCTGGGCTGCTGAATTTACTAACCGAAAGGTCGGCAGTTCGAATCCGAGGAGCAGGGTGAGCTCCCACTGTTAACCCTAGCTTCTACCAACCTAGCAGTTTGAAAACATGCAAATGTGAGTAGATCAATAGGTAGGGAGGTAACGGCGCTCCATGCAGTCATGGTGGCCACATGACCTTGGAGGCGTCTATGGACAGTGTCGGTTTGTTGGCTTAGAAATGGAGATGAGCACCAACCTCCAGACTTGGACATGATTAGACTTAATATCAGGAAAAACCTTTACCTTTTTGATACATAACTCTAGTATAGCCTATAGTATTGACTACATATTTAATATCTCATATGTAATCTCAAGAAGTAAAGTTAAGACCAGTAGAGGCTATATTATGTGTATGCTTGTATATGTGTATGTATTCCCTTCATTACTAACCCAACAGGGTGAGATGTTTTCTTTGCCACTAGAAATATGTCTTTTATATCTAGAAGGGTATATAAGAAACAAATGTTTATTGTATGTTATGTCTAGTAGGGTACAGTACTATTCAAAACAGATTTTTATTATGTGTTTATACTTTCCATAGTTTTCTAAAAGCAAATGCAAAGTAGCTCCATAAAACTAACAGCGAACCAATAATGTAAAATAGCCTGCTGTCAAGAGTGATTGCTAGTATAAATATGGTATTCATCAAAGAAGAGAGGCTCCCCTATTTTTTTTTAATCTGGCCAATTTACTTTGGCAGCGGTAGGACTCAAAAATACACATTTTCTGACAGGCAACAACATTTGACTGCACTGTTAGTTGCCATAGGAACCTAGTGAGCACTGCATGTAATATTCTAAAATCAAGGTGATACATTCGGACAAAACAGGACACGCGGGAGAGATTATATCCTTTTAACTTTGCCCTAACAGCACACCTTTTCATTCCTAGGAGAGTTTCTTTGTTCTGCTGCCCCAGGGTCTGTTTCAGATTTATTAAGTGCCCGTTCCAACCTTGTTCCATTAACTCCCCATTTCTTTTACAATGTTGCCAAATTGTATTTTTTATTAAGTTTAATAACTCTTGTAACTGAATCATCTTCCTTTTGCGGGGTATTAAATGAGCATTGTTTTAGTAACAGCATCTCCTGATAAAGTGTTTATTGAAAATGAGCTTTAACTTTCCAAGTAATTTCATTAAAACAACTCTCATGCAACAAAAATAGGTTCACTTTACCTTGTGTTGTTCTGCCCATGTTCTGGTTTACAGGCATGCCTTTTCTGGTTTAATAGCTTTTCTTTGGATCCGTGTCTCTGGACCGGGAAGAACAGATTAGGAAAACATCCAACAACATCTCTTTCGAGTTGAAATCTGTTCTAAATTCAGTGCGTCTATGATTAACACACAATATTTGAAGATCAGAAACTAGGAGGCAACATTGTGTCTTATGTAACTTGCAAATGCTTTTTGCTGCAAAGATTAAAGTTACACTAACATAAAAAAGACAATTACAGATTACCAGTAGGAACAAGTTAATTATGATCTAACTCAAGAAAACATCTGTATGCTTATTTGGAGAGGAAGAGAGGAAATATCATTTGACATAGCTAATTCTGTAAAGGAGGTTATCAACGTATTACTTTTTCTTTGGATAGCTGAAGGTGTTGCTTGCCTCTTTTCCTTTGAATAGCTTATCAGGGGATACAGGAGAGATGAGAGAAACTGGATTTTGGGGAGTAAATTACCTCTTATTATTATATCAAGATGCTATTTTTTTTAAAAAATGTAGTCTGCTCTCTAATACCATCTCTCAAATACTCCACTACTAATAGGCAGCAAAGGTCACAACTATAAACTGGAGGGATAAGGATACATCTGAATATGTAAATCAAGAACTCTGAACATGAGCAGAAAGGTTTGCAGGGAAGTAAGATCTAGATCAGAACTTTCTAAACTGTGTGTCGGGACACATTAGACTGTTGGCTGCAGTGTAGGTGTGTCGTAAATAGAAACCTCTGAATCTATGGGAAATAAACAATAAATCATATATTTTAAACATGTAAATGAAAGGTTTCCATTAAATATTTTGTATTTTCATACATTTCATGGTTACAATTACAATAAGGGGTTGGTTTAACCCAGTGGTTCTCAACCTGTGGGTCCCCAGATGTTTTGGCCTTCAACTCCTAGAAATCCTAACAGCTAGTGAACTGGCTGGGATTTCTGGGAGCTGTAGGCCAAAACATTTAGGGACCCACAGGCTGAGAACCACTGGTTTAACCTCTGCTATTGAATTAAATTACTGTGTGGCAAAATGATGCATTCCTAAAAAGTTTGTCACCAACATGACATGTTTGGAAAGCTCTGACCTAGAGAACATAACAGACTTGATTAGTAGTTTTACCAGGTTTATTCTAATGGGATTGACAGGTATAAATATGGCAGGAGATGCTGATCTTCTCTTATTTTCCAAGGAAACAGGTAAAACAAGATAGTACAAAGGGAGGACAGCTACTGCTGGCTAAAATCAGGTGGTGTAACAGATCTCTGGTAGCATCAGATGCCTAAGAACAGATATATCTCTCATGGTTGAATCAATACAAATTTAAGCATGTATTAATTTAATCCTACCTTTTGCAGAAGCAGTTAGAGAATGAGGAAAATTTAGCAGAGTAGTAAAGAAAAGGACCTGCGGACATGGCTCTTGTTGTGTGCCTTCAAATTATTTCTGATTTGCAACAACCCTAAGGCAAATGGGCCAAAGGGGCTTCTGGGCAGGATTTTTTCAGAGGGGAGTCGCCTTTGCCCGCCTCTGAAGTTAGGACAATGTGATTTGCCCAAGGCCATCCAGTGAGTGTCCATGGCTGGGTGGGAATGTCAGCCCTGGTTTTAGAGTTGTGTTCCAACACTCAAACCACTACATCATGCTGGCTCTTAGATGTGCTTCTAGTTAAAGATGCCAAAAGTCACTTCTAATATACCTGTGCTGGAGGGCTCTCAGCTATTAAGATGGTTGTAATACTAATTGCTAACTCCTCAATAAAAGTATAATGACTTTCTCTAAATCATTGTGTGAAATTATGCACTCACTAAATACTAAAGCTCAACTGCTTTATAATCTAGTATCATCATTTCAATCTCAGTTTAAGTCATTGGTATTTTTGTTATTAGGACTGCAATGTCCCAAAGCAGAATAAGAGACAGAGAGATTAGATTGAGAGAGAGAGAGATTGGGGAGCCAACAACAAAAAGTGATTATGCTTAGAACAGGAAAGGCATTTCCTTAAAATACACTTAGTTTTGATGCCATAGAGACTTTTTCAACACAAAGTTTTATATGTAAATCTCATGAGATTATTTGCTGTAACTTTCCATGGTATTTATGGAGCATTCACATCCACTTTAAATGCTTTAGAAATTGGCCCTAATGCGCTTTTTATTTCTTCTGAACTAATAACCTTGGGTAACAGAAGTATTAAATTATGTGACCATTTCTATTTTTCTTTTTAATGAATTTTTAAAAATTTAAACACTTCTGTGCAAGGAAATTTAATTCACAATGTTTGCAAAGTACAAAAGACCTCCAGTCTTAGAAGAATTTGTTATTTTACTGCCTGAAAAGGGGAAATTCAACAGGATACTATAGTTTCTTCCATTTCCATGGTATTAGTAAAATCGTGTATCTAGTGATCAAATCAGATATTAAATGGGATACATATTGCCTTTGACTAGTCCTCCCCCTACACACAATGAGCTTTCCTCAGATGCCTACCAACCGTACTTGCAAAGTATGCCCATTTTATACATTAAATTCAACAAGCCTAGGAAAATTACATGTTATGACAAACAGACATCTTTCACCACATAGGAGAAGCATAGATGCAAAAAAACAGGCCAAACAAACCAGTGGTCAAGTGGTCGGAAAATGGGACCTTCAGCCTCATCACACTAGAACATGGATCCACTTTGAATCCAGTTTCTGCCATCTGCAGAATTCTGGGGTTGTAGTTTAGTGAGGCCCAGGACTGTCTAGCTGAGCAGTTTAAATGTCTCTCCCTAAACTAAAAGACCTAGAATTCCGCAGAAGGAAGAAACTGGGTTTAAAGTGGATCCATTTTCTAGTGTGATTATGTCTTTATGCAGCCAAACCTCCTTTGTGTGTGCCTACTCCCTCCAAAGCCCTTGAAGCTTAAATTTTTCGGGATAAAAAATCCTTGAACAAGCACACCGAAAAGGACATGGGCTGCCCAGGGAGTCCCCAAGAGTAACAGATTTTCTAGGAACATCTTTCCAACACAGGAAAAAAAAACTACCAAAACACACTGGAAATCTAGAAGCTGTAATTGGAAGCAACTTCAAATTGCAATTTCTGGTCAATGCACAGCTAGAAATGGCATACTGTGGCCCAAGGTTTCTAGATGGTTTTTAACTAGAAATGAGATGGTGTGACCCACATTTAGAGTCAAGCTGGTCCCCACCCCAATGCGGTTATTCCCTCTGCTCTTGTTTGTACCTAAGTCCAATTCACATTACCTCCAAGATGTTTTTGGATTTGAACTCCAATCCCAACCATTTTCACCAGTGCTAAGAAGTCATGGAGACTATAGTCCAAAACTGGCACACTGGCAACGAAGATCCACATAGATCCACAATGGTATTCCCCATAGTAACCTATGGATGTGAGAACTGGACCATAAGAAAGGCTGAGCAAAGGAAGATAGATGCTTTTGAACTGTGGTGCTAGAGGAAAATCTGAGAGTGCCTTGGGCTGTGAGAAGATCCAACCAGTCCATACTTCAGGAAATAAAGCCTGACTGCTCATTAGAGGGAAATATAGTAGAGGCAAAGATGAAGTACTTTGACCACATAATGAGAAGACAGGAAAACTTAGAGAAGACAATGATGCTGGGGAAAATGGAGAAAAAAGGAAGAAGGGCCAACCAAGGGCAAGATGGATGGATGGTATCCCTGAAGTGACTGGCTTGACTCTGAAGGAGCTGGGGGAGGTGACGGCCGACAGGGCGCTCTGGCGTGGGATGGTTCATGAGGTCACAAAGAGTTGGAAGTGACTGAACGAATAAACAACAGTCCAAAACATCTGAATCCCCACCTCCCCAAGGCTCTCCAAACCTAATTTGTCGTGTGCTAGCTGCCACTATAACCCCCCCCCCCAACTAATGTTGATAGTGAGAAAGAACTTTCATATGATCAAGCTAATGCAGTTTCCAAATAACTGAAAATAAATACACAATTTGATGATCACCAATTAATCTGCTTCTGAGAATAATTCAACAGCAAAGTTATTTTAAATCACAGGGCAGACTATAATATATTCTGTGGACCTTAGCCTTTGCTAATTGCTTGATTGGCCTGTAATATGCCACTAGCACCCCGGTGCAACAATTATTATTATACAGAATTTGGGAGCTCTGGCTGATGCGAAGTCCATGGCCCTGGGTAAGAAAAAGTGTCAGGCTCCTGCTCCGTGGAATGCTACTTAAAAATATAAGACAAAGGAGCACAGTCTAGAGTTTTAAAAACTCGTGATACAAAAAACGATCACAGGCCTGCAAAACTGGGGGCTACAAAAACTGTTTTTTAAAATGTATGCTAGTTTTATAGAACGTTTTAAATGACCTCACATCGCCTAAGCCATGCCCCCTGGATTAGGAGAATGGCCAGCTGAAAGTGAAAAGAAGGCTGCAGAAAAGGTGTTGGATTAGATCAGGGGTCCTCAAACTTTTTAAGCAGAGGGCCAGATCACAGTCCCTCAAACTGTTGGAGGGCCGGATTATAATTTGAAAAAAACATGAATGAATTCCTGTGCACAGTGCATATATCTTATTTGTAGTGCAAAAACCACTTAAAAACAATACAATAATTAAAATGAAGAATATTTTCAACAAGTATAAGCTTATTAGTATTTCAATGGGAAGTATGGGCCTGCTTTTGGCTGATGAGATAGGATTGTTGTTGTTGTTGTTGTTGTTGTTGTTGTTGTTGTGTGCTTTCAAGTCATTTCAGACTTAGGTTGACCCTGAGGGAGGGCTGGGTAAATCACCTTGGAGGGCCATATCCGTCCCCTGGCCCTTAGTTTGGGGACCCCTGGATTAGACCCTCTGCAATAGCCTGCAAAGATTACAACAAAAGCAGGAAGAAGAAATAGAGACAAACTCACAAAGACAACCCAATATGTCAAAGAGCCCACCAAAAAGCCCCAAAGCTGCAAAAAAAACAACAACCTACTAAATACCCGCATCCTCCCATGGACAATGCTAAAAATAGCAATAATAAAGGAGTGAACCCTAAACAGTGAGAATTAAAGCCACCTACAAGGGGAAGGGGAGAAGATTGG